AAAAATAATAGCTAATAGCTAAAACTCGGTAAAATACTGTTGTTTTTGACCTACTAGGAAACACTGTGGGGACACAAGAGACCTTCTAGTATACTTTCTTGGGGCGGCTTGCCTATGTCGTTGTGGCCGACTAGCTAAGAGCCCTGCATCTTACTCCGGAGGTCGAGGGTTTCAATCCCGCTGAGCGGTTTTTTGTCATCGTTTTTTTTTGTCGATTTCTCCCTACATTTAGAGCTTAGATGTTATGCTTGTCTATTGTTTGTACTACATTATTGCATTACATTTGTACTACAATAAATGTATACTGTAAAAGGACAAGATAGATTAGAGTATTTAAAAAAAAAAAAGGTGGTAAACAAGTAGTATTTGTTCTGATCTTCTCAAACATTTCCGAACACAGTTGTGTACTTTGTGCTCTCGAAGCGTAGAAACGCACTCGTTTCACAATATTGAATTTGTTTTTAAGTCAATTGAGGTATTTTCCAGTTGAATGCCAAGTGTTCCATTTATAAACGCGTTTCACCTTTCTTTCTTTTTCCACTATCGCCAAGTTGATCATTCGTTTCTGCAGCTGTTTCCTTGGAGAGGATCCTTGGAAAAATTCAACCATCCAACCAGATTTTCCTATCGTAAATACTGTAATAGTACCTCACCGCCCATAATGACGGTGCGGAGTGTTGTGTAGTCTAGCTTTGAACGAGCTTTTCTCGACACTGGTTTATGATACAATGTTCGTTTAGATATCAAAAAATAGCTGAAATTCAGGGTTATTTTTTGATACCAAAGACGCATTTTTTGAAAGTACGGGTGCTTTGAAAAAAAAGAAATACGAGAAAACTTTTGCGACTACGCGACTGTACAATGGGGGGACGGGGTACTATTACAGTATTTACGGTATTTTATTGAGCTGTTTGAATGCTTGCTTTGAAATTGCTTTCAAATCTTTTAATCTCTCGCCAAGTTGATCATTCGCTTCTGCATCACAGCTGGTCCCTTGGAGAGGAAAAACTCAACCATCCAACCAGATTTCCCTAGGTATTTTGAGATTAAAACAGCTAACTAGCTGATTTTTGCTTAATTCTTTGCAAACAGCCTCTTTCTGGTGCATCAATTATCCGAAAATTCATGTTTTTTTCAACAAAAAAACCCGACTTCCCTTCACATGTTGCTTCCAGAAATTGTCCTTCATCACGAAAAAAAGAGCTAAAAATGTCGGTGATTTTTGAAAAAAGGCGACTCTAATCCAAG